GATGATGATGATGACGATGATGATGATGATGATGATGATGATGATGATGATGAGGATGATGAGGATGATGATGACGATGCTGAAAATGACGATTACGATGATACTGATGATGATTCTGATGATGCTGATGCTGCTGATGTTGGTGCTGATGCTGATGCGTATGCTGCTGCTGCTGTTGCTGATGATGAGGAGGAGGAGGAGGAGGTGGAGGAGGAGGAGGAGGAAGGAGGAGGAGACGATGAGGGCTTGAACGAAATGTCAGGGTTCGGAGGGGATGCAGAGCGAAGGGGGTGGAGGAACAGCGGCACAAGCTGTGGTAGCGGGATTACCTCGGGCTGCGGTAGTCGTCTCGTTGTAGGGGAGCCTCAAAGTCGCCCTCTGGGGGAATCCAGCGAATTCATACTGAGCCTTCCCCGAGCAGGAGAGAACGAACCCTGTTCCACTTGACCTCCCCTGGGGGAGAGAACGAACCCGAACCAGCAGGAGGGAACGAGCAAGTCTCCCGCTAGGGGGCAGGACTTGTCCTCCCCGGGCGGCGCCAGCAGCAGGCAGTGCGTTGATTGTGGATGTGCCGGCCTATCCTCGATTTGAGGCGCGGTCTAATTCGTTTCTCTCTTTTGTCTCCTTCTCCTTCTCCTCCTCCTCCTCCTCCTCCTCCTCCTCCTCCTCCTCCTCCTCTTGCGTTCGTTCCCCTCCTCTCCCTCTCCTGGCGTTCCCCGGCGCGTGCACGGCTGCCCGGCTGGCACGCGCAGCCCTCTGAAGTCCTCGTGGCCGCACCAGTGCAGTCTGGCTGAGTCCCAAGTGGCCGTCTCACCGCCGATGTTGGCTCGGGTGCCGGGTGCTGAGGTCCAGGCCTCCCAGATGGGGTCCACGTAGGTTGGGTCGGAGGATCGCTCCGCATCGCCGATGCATCGGCGATGCGGCTCGATGCGGAGCCCGATTTGCTTCACGTCGACGTCGCCGATACATCGCCGACGTCGACGATGCATCACTGGCGCCTCGCGAAAGCATCGCTGATGCATCGCCGATGCATCGCCGATGTATCGGCGCGATCCTCCGACCCCATCTGCTCCGACCCCATCTACGAGACCTTTATGAGGGGGGGACGAGTTCCACTTGATTTGGTGCCGACGCGGAGCTCGGGCCTTCGCGGACATCAGGATCGGCCCAAGGGCCCATCTCGTCGTCCCAGGAGCTCGTATGTGGCAGGCAGAAAAAAGCATGTCGGGGTCGGTGTCGGCACCGGGTGAGAAGAGTCCGCAGCCCCTGGTGAGGCGGCCGACGCCGTAGGCTTAACGCAAGAGGTCACCGTACGGTTCAGACGCAAACGCCACATGTCGCCGCGCCGCTTGTTCCGACGCGCGGCCTTACGTTTTGGGGAGGGCGCCTCGGCCACCAGGGCAAACTCCGCCTCGGACGCAAGGTTTGCCGCAGTGCCGGCTTCGTCTACTTGGGCACGTTCCGAACAAACGGCGGCAGGCGACACATGCTTTCCACGGCCAGTGGCTTGGCGAATTGGAAGGTCGGCTTTGGCCCTGGCCGGCTTGGACCCAAGCTGGCTTTCAACCTGCGGTCGCTGGATCTGTAGGACACGTTCGGGGAGAGGGGGAGGGAACGAGTGAGGAGCTGGGCACCTTGCCAACGCAATTGCAAAGCAAGGGCGGCGTAAGAGTTCCATGGCTTGTCCTGGAGCCAAAGGACGTATGGAACAGCCGACTGCGATGCAACAGCTTGTAGTCAATTGGAGAAGAAACTGCTGCGCCTACACATGTAAGCTGGACGTGAGGTTTGATGATGACGCCTCCCACCTTACACGAAATCTGACTGGGTCAAATCCTGCAGGCGCACATTGAAATCCCAAATAATGATCCAAGGGGTGGGGAGGAGCTGGACTACGGCCCCCAGACGGGAAACCTGCGGAGAGGTTGTCTCCCGTCCGAAACATTGGGAGCAGTGCCAGTAGAAAGTAAGCATTTCATCACTAAAGCTTTGGAGATGGACGACCATGGGGAGGAACTCATCGAGGCTGGAGGAGCTTGTTGCGCGCAGATACTGGCCGATGTGCTGGTTAGAGAGACGATGTACTTGTTTGTGGCCCTCGGCGAGAAAACCTCGCCGCCCGCATTGTCTCGCGTGGCCGCCGAGGCGGTCACATGCTTAATTACCTGATGAGTGAGCCTCGACCTGCATGGACTCGAACGTGGCCGAACGAAACTTGCGCTGCCATTATTGACTGGGATCCTTCCCAACGTGAGTCTCGCACAGCGTGGAATACTGGAAATGTTATGATGCCTGAAGGACTTGATGTACTTCTGGCTCTTGGGGCCGATGCCTGTGATGCCACTGAAGAAAACCTGGACGATCCAGCCGTCCTCACTCACGGCTCGTCGCCCTCCAGGTCGAAGTCGGACTGACGAGACTCCGTCCCCGCTGCCGCTGGGCGAGTTGCCTCCCCGGCCGCCCTCTTCTTCACGCCCCTCGAGAGCCTTGAGACGGGGGTCAATGCAAGCGGGGGTCAGCCAGGGCACCAGATCCTGCAGGATCCTGCGAAGACCCCCCCTGGCTGACCCGGGTTAGCGAGCCGCTCGTGGCCGCGAGGCGGCCGCGCATATTGGCTGACCCGGGTTTGCGAAGATCTGCATTGCAGTTTTTTTTCTTGCATTGCAGTTTTTGATTTCCTGCTGACCCGGGTTTGGATTGACCCGGGTCAGAAGATCCCCGAGCCCCTGATCTCGGGGGCAGCCAAGAGTGGGGTGATGCCTAGGGGGGGTATGTCATGACGGGGGCCATGGTACTTCCTCAGGTGTCTTGGCGCCTCCTCTTATTTCATTGCGTCCCTGGCCCCTTCCCTGGGCCGCGCACACGCCGCAGGCCATGATTTGCGCCCCCCCCCTCTTGGAGCCCCCCCCCTCTTGGCCGCCCCTGATGATCTCGGCGTCACCCCAACGTACTGATGCTATGTATACGTCGCCCCGACGGGCGACAAGCGCACCGAGAAATCTGATAGTTTATGCGTTGTGGCGAGCGCTTTCTGGCCGTACCGCTCGGGAAACGATCTACTATAAGATCTGTGTACTATATGTTCGGGTCGGACGCACGCCTCCGAGGACACATAGTACTTATACGTTCTTGTGCGTCCCGTGATCCTCTCGATCTCAGCCTCGAGGTCGGCGTCCTTGGTGGTCCGCTTGTCGTCGCCTGCCGCTGGCGCTGCGCCCGCCACCTCCGACGCAGCTGACCCCGCAGCGGAACTTGTGGAGGCGGCCGTCGCGGGTGCCAGACCTCGTGGGCGAAGGACATATCCGTATCCGCTGCCTCGTGGGCCGGGTCCCTGGGCTGCGACCTTGCGGATACGGGGCGTTCTTTCGCGGATGCCCAGTGCGGGACGTATCCGTGCGACCGCGTAGCCGCGGGATCGCGCCCCGGAATCCAGACCGCGAGGGCGCGGATACGGATACGTTCGCCGCTCATGACTCACTCGGTGAGCTCCGTGAAGAAGTCCTCGTCCCAGTTGATCCAGAATACGTATGTCCTGGGAAACAGTCGGCTCGTCCTCGGCGTGGGGCTTGTCGATGGCCACAATGGCCACCTCCTCCTCGAGAGCCTCGGCCGCCTCCACAGCTCCGCGGCCGCGTCCGCTCGGCGTCCATTCCGCTCTGACTTCGTGTTATGTGCTCGGACCTCGCGCGCCCGCTTCACTTCGACCAAGCCCATTTTCCGTTTTGGCTCGAGGAAGGAGCAATGACATACAGTGGAGACCAATGCCAAGAAACACCCTGTTTGCCTCAAGGGTGCCCTTGGTTTCTTGAGTTTCGACGGTTTTTCTATGGAAATCGTGACGTTCCCACACCAAAAATCAACGGACGTCCTGGGGTCTTCTCAGGGTTGGGTTTCTCATGGAAGGTTTCTTATGGACTGGCCTTCACTGCAAGCGTAACACTTTGAGAGGTTCGCGCTGATTTCTTGGATCTGTGCTGTACTCCCTCCCTGGCGCGCGGAGCGCGCCGGGGGCGGAGCCGGAGGCGCCGCCAAGGCGGGCCCAGCGCCGACCTGATAAATCCGCGCGGAGCTCCGAATGGTTGTGTTTATGCAGTTGTTTGTTCTTCTATTGACGTTCTTGCCGTTCGCCGCTGGCCATCATTACAGCCTCGGCTTCTGCGAGACAGGCCGGCTGCACGAGCTGCGTGGGAGGCCATCCCACGCTCCTGTGCGGGTGTTGCCTGGTGCCTTCTCCCAGCGTGCCCCGTGACGGGGCCCGAGGGTGTAAGCAACAGGCCAATGATTTGGGCCACCGATGCTGGAGAGGAGAATGGGGAGGGGGAGGAGGACAAATAGGGGGGAGAGATAAGGGAGGAGGGGGGAAGGTGGAGAAGGATAATGAGGAGGAAGAGGAGGAGGAGGAGGAGGAGGAGGAGGAGGAGGAGGAAGGAGGAGGAGGAGGATGAGAGGAGGAGGAGGAGGAGGAGGAGGGGGTGAAGAGAGGAGGCGGGGGAGGAGGGAGGAGGAGGGGGAAGAAGAAAGAAGGTGTGAGGAAGCAGAGGGGCAGGGTGGGGGGAGGAGGGGGGAAAAGATAAGTAGGAGGAGACTCACTCTCCTCCTCTTCCTCCTCCCTGCTCATGCTACTCCGCATCGTCTGCCGCTCCCCGCTTCTTCATATTCCTCCACCCCTCGTCTCTTCTATTCCCACCTTTTCGTCTTCCCTATTGTCGTCCTCGTCCTCCTCTTTTCCTTCCTCGTCTTCTTCCTCCTCCTCCTCCTCCTGGTATCTCTCCTTAGCGTCACCCGTCTCTTCCCTACCCCTCGCCTGCGATCCGACTTCGCGAACAGAACAACACCATCGCGACAATCATGGCCAGAGCTCTGGACCCCATCGTTCCCTACCATTTTTACAGTCGGGTCGATTTGGGATGGTCCCTGAGCCCGAAACTTGACGAAGACGCCCTTTGTGAACAAAGTGCAACTCTGGGGTCTGAGGATCCTCCTCCTCCTTCCTCGCGAAGGTCGAGGACCCAGAGCTCGCTGGCGCGCACCGGAACGTGTACAGGCAGGAGGATCTGCGCTCCGCCCTTGCTCTGGCCGGCAGCACGGGGAGCTCAGGCGGCGGGCGGGGACCGGGAGGGGGATGGAGAGAGAGAGAGAGAGAGAGACGGAGTCACAGAGGAAGGATGTTCCCAAAACAGCTTGTCTTTAAGGATCCTACATCTATATATATACATATGTGAGGCCTTCCAGAAAGGGCCTCGTCTTCGAGGGATCGAGAAACTGATCTCTTCCCCCGCGGAGGGCGGCGGAAGGCGGCGGAAGTAAAACGAGATTGGCTCCGCCGTCAGAGAAGGCCTGCGGAAGCCGGCTGTGTGGGCTCCCGCATGGCGTCCTGCATATGGTCTCCCCATGGCCTCCCGTGTGGTTTCCCGTATGGTCTCCCGTGTGGTTTCTCGTATGGTTTCTTGCATTCAGCCACGCGCACAGGGGGTAGGGGGAGGGGCGAGGGCTTCCTAGAAGCCCCCCTGCTTCTTAGAAGGCGCGGTCCTTGTCTACAGATACAAGGCCGGCGCCTTCTAAGGAGCAGCCTCCTTCTAAGAAGCCCTCCCCCCTCCCTCCACCGCCTTGTGCGCGCCGCCAATGTATGGCGTCCCATATGGTCTCCCGTATGGTCCCCCGCATGCGCATTACAGTGAAATGTTTCCTTGGCTCCTGAGAAAGTATTTTCGTGCATTCTTCCGCCACGGTGTTTTTTGTTGCATTCAGCGCCCGTCGCCCCAGTGCTTTGTTGTAGCGAATTGGGTGATGTGTACTTGCATTCGAACACCTCATAATCGCGAACACTGATGGCCAAACAGGAATATTGGGGCAATCTCGAAGGCCCCAGAGCCGTCTTCGGCCGATCTTGGCTCGAACATGGGAGAACCCCCTAAACAATCAAACGCCTTGGGATAATGCTACAGTTCTCAGAACGTCTTTCTCTCTCCGCGTTGGCCGCAATATTCATGCTCAAGTCTTTTCCTGGCGGCGACGCCTGAGGTGCATGATTCTCACTGCCTCTTATACCCTTTGGGAGGCTGCGAAGCTTGTGTGGCCATCCCTCTCTCCGATAGCAACCTCCGCACTGACGTGCGCGGTGCAGAGCAGCTACCTCGGGTCGCCCTACACATTCAGTCTGGGGACTCTCCTGATCGGGATCCTCGTCGGAGCGGCAGGTCACGCTCTATACTCTCGCAGGCATGACGGACTTAGCCGCGAGGTTCTTGAGACCAGGTCGAGAGATCATCGCAAAGTACGAGACCGAGAGACGACTGTGGCACAAGAGGTTGATCTTAGAGACCTGCGACGCCGTGACCTTGGAGAGGATCATGGGTGAAGCCGCAGTCGTTCCAACGCCTACCATCATGTGGGTGATGACTCCGACGGGGGATGTCTATCCAGAGGAGCTGAGCTGTCCGCCTCTGCTCGCCGTCGCGCCCTGCGATCTCGAGGGGAACCCGATCCGCGACCAGGTGCTGGGGCCGCCGTCGCACTGGGGCTGGGTCTTCGAATTTGGGTAGCTTCCTCGCCCGGCCCAGTACGAGCGGGCTCGGGCAGCGTGTCGAGCTCAGAATCTTCGGAGGCCGATCCCCGCTCTCGACGACGACGTGACCGCTGAGGCTCTCGTGTTGGCGGAGCCCCGGGGCGGCGCCTGTGGATGGCGCGCGCACGCCCGACGGGCCAGGCGCACTGCCACCGCCGCTCCTTGCAGTCCGTCCGGAGGACGTGGTCGCGCTGAAGGTCGGTGAGGATCTCGGGCTTAACTTCGGGAGCGGGCGTCTGCCTGCCCCGTTCCGCCGCTAGTGCGACATCCGCGGCCCTGCGGCCGTGGCGCTCGAGAAGCCCACCGGCGACGGTTGGGTCCTCAGCGGCGGCTCCGGGCTGCTCCTCCACGATGGGGTGGTGAAGATGATTTCGGACCGCGCCGGCACCAGCCCTGGCCCTTGGGACGGGGAGGAGGAGCAGGAACTCGAAGCCCGCATTCTGGAGATTACAAGGGATCGGCTGGGCAAACGGTTCAAGGATTTCAAGGTAGCAGTGGACCTCACTTCGGAGACGGCCTGGGACTCATGGCCCTGGACAGGGCCGCGTACGATGCTGGGGTATCAGATCATGAGACTGCGATGAAGGCGGTGGAGTATGGGTTTACATATGATCAAATGAACGCTTCAGAGTTGTCGTTCGTGGAACTGCTGTTGCGCCGTGCTCAGTTGTCCGAGTACCGCTACAAGCACATGTTGCTTTGTACGGACGGCCAGACCGATAACATTTTACATGACGAGTTTTTGTACCTGGGCGTCGGCGAGACGCGTGGCCAGTTGATGCTCTGTCCGCTCCTTGAGGAGTTCGTTGCATCGGAGCTGCACCGCGAGTCGACGATCGCAAATGAGTAGTCCAGAAAGCTCAACGAGGAGGCCGGCCAGGCTTCACTCCAGCAGCGGCTTCCGCCGCTGACGGCACTCACGGATGCGTCTGGAGGTGTACTACCGCTCGCCAGGGGCAAGGATAAAGCAGAGAGGGCCGCCGCCAAGGCTCAGAAGGATGCCGCGGCAGCGGCGGGCGCGGCGGCCCAGCGGACTTGAAGTGCCAGGCGGCTGGGGTCCCGTCCAGTCGCCGTCAACAGGGATGCCAGCATCTCGAGAGCTGCTACCTCTGGCTCCGCCTTATCCACGAGAATATCAGTTTTGTTATCACGGTTCTGGGTGCCGCGCTGTCCGACGTCGTCACCACATGCGTCGGCGCTGGCAGAACTGGGTTAATTCGGCTGTTGAATGTTTGAATGAGATGTACGGTTGCACTATTTTTCTTCCGTCTGGTTTTGAGGTATCAGAGGCCTAGAGTATCTGCGTGGAGCTTCTTTCCGGCATCTATCGAGCTATGCCGCCTCCTCTTTGCGCGGCCGCGCAAGCCTTCGAGGAGCTCGGCAGCGGTCGCCTTGGGGATTCAGACTTTGACCCGAGGCGCAGCTTCCAGCTGGATTTGGTCTCATTGCCCAACGTGGGCGGCCTGGCCGACGGCGAGCAGGGGCTGTCCGGACAGGCTCTTCAACGCTGGAGGTCTATATCGACTAACTTGCGGATTGGAGTTGGCATCAGCTCGACCGCGACCACGCACGCCATTCAACCCTATAGTGACCCTGCGCTGGTCAAGGACCAGGCTCGCTACGCTGACTTTATCATGCAGATGTACAGAGCTGGGCTGGCCACGCTTCGGCCAGAGCGCCCAGCCACTGTTGGCGTATTCTTCGTCGCGAAAAAGGACGGCAGGCTGCGCGTGATTCTGGGCGCTAGAGCAGTCAACGCGCTGTTTGAGGGGCCCGCCCACTCGAGGTTGCCCACGCCAGCTTCTTGGGCTTCGGTCGAGACCGGAGTCGTGGATGACTTCGTCCTCTCGCAGATGGATATCGACAGCGCCTTCTACCGCTGCAAGGCACCTCCTGGGGTATCTGACTGGTTCGCACTACCTCGCGTCTCAGCGCGGCAGTTTCGTCGTGTCGATGGAGGCCTCTGCGCTCGTGCTGGCATCGCCACCTCTGGCTACGTCGCGCCGCGCCTGGAGGTCACGGCGATGGGGTGGTCTTGGGCGCTACATTTTTGCCGGGCCATGGTAACGGCCAGCGCCCCTCAGGCTGGGGCTCCTTCGGCGGCGTTTTTGCAGGACAAGAAGCAGGCCCCAGACATCGCCGGCGCCAACTTTGGCACGGCCATCTGCGTGGACAACGCGGAGACCGTGGGCGCCGACGACGGCGTGGTCAGCGGCGCGGCACGCAAGGTTACAGCCAGCTGGCCGCCGACGGTCTGCTGTGCAAGGAGCTCGAGCACGGACTGCCTGAGGCTCAGTTCACTGGACTGGCCCTGGACAGGGCCAGCGGGCGCATCTCCGTTGGCCACCGACGCTGTTAGAAGGTGCGCCTCGCGATCGAAGGCATCTTGGACGAGGGCTTCTGTTCTGGTGAACTGCTGCGCCGCGTCGTGGGGCACTTCGCGTGGTCTGCGATTAGCCGACGGTGTTTGCTGAACATCCCTCGGACCATCTACAGGTTCATTGACTGTGCTGGAAGTAATCGCATTCGCTTCTGGCCTGCGGTCATCAAGGAGCTGCGCTGGATGGTGATATTGCTTCCGCTCGCTGACGCCGACAGCAAGAGGCCTTGGTCCACGGTTGTCGCGTCGTCAGACTCTGTGGGCGCCAGCGCCACCGACAGCGGGGACTTTGGCGTCGTGACTTGGGAACGCCCGCTGGATTTCGTGCGTGGCTGTTGGCCGACAGAGCGAGCGCTGGAGGTTTGCCGTCGAGGATGCAGGGCAGGCGCGGCAGGGGGCAGCGGCCGGCGAGAAGGCAGACGCTTCTCCGCCAGATGCTGGCCGCGACTGCCCTCCAGACGAGCTGCCGCCCGAGCTGTTCGACATTCGTTGGTCTGACATCGGGGGCTTCAGCGACTTGGGCCTCAAGGTGAGATGGCGGTGGCGCCTGGCCGAGAGCATCGCTTCTTCCGAGGGTCGCGCCACTGTCATCGCGGTCAGGAATCGTATCCGCCCGATCCGTCACTTCTCTCATCGCCACCTCTTCTTAGGTGACAACTTGGGGTTTGTCTTGGCGCAGGGGGAGGTCAGGAGGGAAAAAACACACAGACACAATTAATCGTCGACCCCCAGGAAAATATGGGAAAATATGGGAAGTGGTGGGGAAGACAGAAGCCCAGAAAATATGAGAAAATATGGGGAATCTTTTTATTTGCGTGTATTTATGTGTGTGTCCTGGGGCCCCTTCAGAAGGGCAGGGCCAGCAGCGCCAACATCAATGGGCATCGTCGTCAGTTAGCAGCCCTGTCAATGATCTCCGAAACGGATTGTATCACCAGGTGGGCCTCTTCAGAACTCAACCCTGCCGACGCCGCCTCGAGGTTCGAGGCTGGGCCGCCAGTGCGAGGGGGCGGCGGGCCACGGGGTGCTCGGCCACCCTGGGTCGCCCGGGGCGCCGAGGTGCGCGCCGCGCTCCAGTCTGCTGTCGAGGCTTTCGCCAGGGCCTC